ATAATGGTGGCAGGATAGGATTAACAGCACACCACAGAGTTTGCTCCAAAGACACGATAGTGTAGGGTTAGGAGATACATGGGAATTAGTTTTATTTGCTCAGCAGGACATCCAAAGCCTATAGGATAATGGGGTAGCTTTTATTTATTTTTATTTTATTATTATTCTTTTTAGAGAGAGCGTGAGTGGGGGTGGGGAAGGACAGAGGCAGAGGGAGAGGGAGAGAGAGAATCCTAAGGAGACTCCACATTCAGCACAGAGCCCGATGCAGGGCTTGATCTCACAACCCTGAGATAACGACCTGAGCAGAAATCAAGAATTAGACCCTTAACTGACTGAGCCACCGAGGCTCCCTGGATAATGGGGTATCTCTTAAAAGAGGATTAGCTATGTAGCAAATCTAATAGTGATTTTGCTGAGTTAGAACTACAGCTCCAAAGGTGTCTTCTTGTATAGTGGAGGATCAGAGCATGCGGATGGGTTGGGGGGTAGTTGGGGTTTAGTCTTGAAGGGTAAATGTTGGAAGGGTTGGAGGGGAAATGGTATTTTTGGAATGAGAGACACTGAAAAATGTGGAAGGGAGAGAACATGGCACAAGGATTTGTAACTAGTCCTGGGTGGCCGGGGAAGGGGGACCTCTGGGAGGAGTAGCCAAGGATGGAGCTTTCCGAGGTAGCTGGGAGTAAGATCATTGAGGAACTTCTGTGCCATAGTTTGGAGATCAGATTTTATTCTAAGGGGATGGGAAACCGTAGAGGGCTTTAACCAGGGGAGGGGTGGTCAAAATGGCAAAATCACTTCTTAGAAAGTTCCTTTTGATAGCAAAGCAGATATTGGATTGAAAACTGGAGGCAAGAAGCTGATTCTTTCTTTCTTTCCATCCACCTACCCACCCCATCCATCCTTCTATCTATTCACCCAGCAAAGAAGTATTACTGAATGCTGGTTCTGAGAACAAGCTCTATCATCAGATAGGCCTGAATTTCAAACCCAGTCTTGCCACTTACCCTATCTGTGTGATTCTGGGTGAGTTACTGAATCTGTCAGTAATTCACTTTTATCACCTGAAAAACAGGACAAATAATCATGTCCGTTAATACTTCGTAGATTGGCTGGGGAATGAAATAGGACAGTGCATCATAAATACTTGGCACCAGGCTAGGAACTCATAAACATTCAGAAACTTGTAGCTATTTTTGTTAACAGGTTGAAGGCACAGACTCGGGAGCTTTCATGATACTGGGGACTGCAAAAGCCATGAGGATTGTGAAAACTTTCACTAGAATGATACTCGATTGAGTGGACATCTACTGAGCACAGAACTACTTACAGAGCATCACACTGGGCCTTGTGGGAGGTGCACAGGTGGGTGCTGCTGAGAGTGTGCACCAGGCGGAATATGGTAAATGCTCTAGTCAGTTCAGTAGTGTGGAGACTTTGGAAAGCTTTTTGGAGAAGGTGGAGCTTGAGATGAGTCTTAAAGGCTGAAGAGGACTTCCAGTAGGTAGATACGGGGCGGGGAAGGACTCTTCACACACAAGTAGTGGTAGGTATGGAAGTCTGGAGGCAGGAGGAGGAGAGTGGGTATTAAGAAAACCAGGGCTTATAAGATATATAGGACTATACATGAGAACGCTCAAAGATTGTATAAGGAGAGAGAAAGTACTGGAATACAGGTAAGCGTCAAAGTGATTTTCAGTTGAGAACTTCAAATTCCATTCTGAGGATTTGAGACTTTAATGTGAATGCTGGGGGTGGGGGGGTGGGCAGAAAGATGCTATCAGGCTTGTATTTAGGATGATTGAATGCCAGAGGTGTGAATGAGCACAGGAGAGGAAAGGGAGATGAAAGAGACTGCTTAAAGACTATTTTGGGAGAGTCTCAGGAAGGGGCCCTGGGAGGACGGGGAAGAAGGATGGGTTAAAGAGCTTTCAGCAAGGGCGCCTGGGTGGCTCAGTTGGTTAAGCAACTGCCTTCAGCTCGGGTCGTGATCCTGGAGTCCCAGGATCGAGTCCCGCATCGGGCTCCCCGCTCAGTGGGGAGTCTGCTTCTCCCTCTGACCCTCTCCCCTCTCATGCTCTCTCTCACTCTCTCTCTCTCACTCTCTCTCTCTCAAATAAATAAATAAAATCTTAAAAAAAAAAAAAAAAAGAGCTTTCAGCAAATAGAATTGATGGGATCCAGCGCCTCGCTTACTGTGGGGTGAAATGGAAGGCGTGGATTTGCAGCCTGAGAGACCGGGAATGATAATGCCGTGGAGAAGGGGCAAAAGCAGAAGGAGGTTCAGGACGAAGGACAGCAAGCTGGGCTTTCAGTCTGAGTGGCTTGTGAGACATGGGTTTGGAGCGAGTGTCCCCTCGGCAGCAGATTGCCGGGCTGAAGTGAGGAAGTGTGTTGAGAGCCCGAAGCAGGTAGGGGAGTGAGTCTTCTGCTGTAAGGCACAGTCGAAGCCCTGTGAAGCAGGAGATGGTGTGTGCAGTGAAGGACTCAGCTTTGGGGAAGGACCACACTTCAGGCGGAGTTAGCAAGAGAGAAGCCAGCGTCTGAGGCCGGAAGATGAATAGAAGAAAGAGGTGTGTGGCATCCGGGAGGGGAGGAGAGATCTTCAGGAACAGCTCAGATGATCAGTAGGCTTAAAAGCACAGGGACTAAAGGGACAGATGACAGTATAAGTTTATCGACTAACATTTTGACGGATGTATGGAAAGCCGAAATTGACGTCTCCTTGGGTGGCATACATCTGGTCAGCTGATAGGGGGCCACTAGTTGGTGAGGGAATCTCAGGGACATTTTGATCATTGAGTGTGAGATTCATGTGGTTTGGGGCAGTTGGAGTGAGTTTCCTCAGGTTAGAATTTTGGGCTCACCCCTCACTGAATCCCTCCTCAACAGCCTGTTCTCAGTGGGGATGGAGAGTTTGGAGAAGGATAAAGGGATCTCCTTTCCATACCTGCACCTGGAATCACCATGTGTCAAGATGTCCCTTATTGATGGGAAAGACTGGAGCCGAGCTGTGGGTGTGTTGCGTCTGAGACGGGCACGTGCTAGGCGTCGTCCACACCCTGGTATATCTGTGGGCAAATGCGTTGAGGTTACGGGTAGAGTTCCTGGCTGTTCTTCTAGCAAAGCAAATCTAGAAGACCATTTAATCCTTGGAGTACTTGGCCATGGGTTGAAATCGGCCCAAGAGAGAGGCAGCTACCTCAGAAGGGTGAGCTCCTGAGTCTGCCCTTCCAAAGTTTCCAGAGGCTTCCCCCGGAGGCCATGTCCCACCATCTCCTTGCCACCATTCCAAGGCTCTCTCTGCTTTTCCAGCTGAAGAAAAGGTACATAATTTCCTCTCTCCAGGGTTTGCATAGTGAATGAGTTGAGGGGTGGGGGGGATGGTCAGAGGATAAAGATGGTAGGGATGGGGTGAGAACTTGAAGAGCTTCTTTTTCTAAATCACAGGTACTGTTAGTATTTTAAGTGAGATCTAAACCTGCAATCTGTTTTAGGGTGAAGCAAAACATCGGGTCTTACCTTACGTGTCTCCACACATCCTCTGGTCACATTCCTCTCCCTTTTCTCTGGCCTTTGTTTCACATTCCTTCAAAAGTTTGAGCCCTCCCCCCCACCCCATTCCCACACTTGCTTGTTTGGGCTCTGGGCTTCCTTCGTTCTCTGCTGAGGATCCCCGGGTGGAAGGTTCTGCTTGAAAGGTACATGGTTTTCATTGCAAATGGGTCCCATGGGACATCTGAGGTCATAGCTTGATCTTCATGCAAATGACCATGTTCCCCACCCTGCACGGCACTCCCTTAGGGAAGGCTGGGATGAAGGGGCCCTCACAGCCTTGGATCTGGGCTGTTCCCGAAGCCTGACCCTGCTCTCTGACAGTCACTGAGTGGGTAAGAGGGACCCTGGGTTTCTCATCTCCCCCCGACCCCTGCCCTTGTGCTTTCTTTGGGTTTGCGGTCTCATCCTTGCTTTCCTTCCCATTTCTCCTCTTTCCCACTTAACCTTGTCCTTGTCCTTGTCTTCTCTTGCTCCTTCCTCTCAAGCAAAGCAAACACTTGTTAGAACTTGGCTGCGTTCAGTTTTCCTCCCCTCTTCCTTCATCTTCTGTTCTTCTCTTCCATCAAGAGCTCAAGCTCAGTATGCAGCAGTAAATATTTATATAGCTTATAAGCCTTGGCGTCTGTGGGTTTGGTACCATGGGACGTATAAGATGCTCATTGGAAATGCAGTTGGGTGGTGGGGACTCTGGAAGGCGAGAACTTCTGATGTGTTCATCTTTGCCCTGGGCCGGGGACGCGGAGAACAGCACGGCTTACAAGGAAATACTCCGAAGTGTGTGAGTTGCAAGTCAGAAGACCCAGGTTTTGTTTCTAAGGCCTCTGCGATCAGAGGACACTTTAGCTCCTTTCTGCCATGCATAGGGCTTCATTTTAAAAATAGGGATTATGGCCCTTGTCATACTGCCTCTGTGGAGGAATGTTTTAAGAACCTAGTGAAATAATATGCATGTGACTGCTTTGAAAAGTAGGATTATTCTTGACCATTTTTGTGGGCACATTTCTGCTAAACAAAATGTCGAAACTGCATCGGCCGTGTTTGTGTGAGAGGAGCTCCTAGTTTTAGATGATCTCTGATACGTCTTTCGGCTCTTAAATTCTGTCTTCCCTAGACGGTTCTTGGCATGTAATAGGGGCTCTGGCAATATCTGGATGGATGGACAGACAGACGGTCGGACGGCTGGATGAATATCTAAATGTCTAATTGCCCTACTTACCCCTTCGAGTCCCATTTCCATTTCCCATTGACACCACCGCCCCCTCCTGGCCAGCAGCAGTATTACGGTGCCGTGAGTTGGTGGCCGGGCCCGTTTCTCCCCAGCCCCTAACCCGGGCTCCCCGACCCGGCTCCTGGGGACCCGGCTTTGGCCTCCCATCCCTGACTGCTTGTCTTCCCTCCTCCTCCCTTCCCACCCCACTCCCTCTCTCCATCTGCCCCTGCAGCACTGCCAGTAACTCAAACCGCAGCACGCCGGCCTGCTCCCCCATCCTCCGGAAACGGTCTCGCTCGCCAACCCCGCAGAGCCCGGACGGAGACACCATGGTGGAGAAGGGCTCGGATCACTCCTCCGACAAGTCCCCGTCCACGCCGGAGCAGGGTGTGCAGCGCAGCTGCTCATCACAGTCTGGCCGGAGTGGCGGCAAAAATTCCAAGGTGAGCTGGACCCTGCCGGGCCTCCGCTTCCTCGTTAGCCGGCTTCGGGGAAGCCAGTGCTGGGGGGAGGGCGGGGTAGAGAGCCCCTTCCTCCAGGGCCCTTGCGTCGGTGCGGCAAGGGTGGGACAGGCCGGGGAGCCCCTAGTTAGGTGTTACCTTCTCGGCTGAGCCCTCAGAAGGCCCCCCGGGAACTCGTCGTGTGACTCCACAGTGACTGTTTTCTCTCTTTGGGCTGGGGAGCCTCCTAGACCTTGAGATTTGGGAAAAGGGTGCTCTGGGGACCAGGGGGGCTCATCTGTCTAGCCCTGCTTCCTTTTTCAAATTTGGGGTAGAAGGGGACATTATTTGGGACAAATACAGGGCCCAGGAGAGAGTCCTCAGGAAGAGAGGTGTTTTTAACCCGCACCCTGGCTCGCTCTCTCTGCCTTATCTTCGGTAATACCCCACTTGGTACTCATTTGGCCAGGAGGGCGGTGACTGGGCCTCTGGGTGGCTCCCAGGGTGCTGCCTGCTGCCTGAGGACCTGGGCCTTTGCCTGAGGAGGGGCATAACAGAAGCCCCAGGGGGGCCTGGGCTACGGATGGGTCCCCAGAGATCTTCTTCTCCCCTCCTCAGTCCTTTGGGAAGCAGGAGATATTCTTTGCCTAGATGCTCCTTCAAAAAGTTTCTCTTTACTGCGGACTCCTAGGCCCTGGGGAGGGGAAGGGGCCCCTGGGAGGCGCGGGTGCTGGCTTCCCACCTGATTTGTCTTTTGATTTCTTGTTCTTCCTCTTCTTCCCCACCATTTCCCAAATACTTCCTTTGCATGCATGGTCTTAGTCTCACAAGCGCCTCTCAAAAGTAAGCCATCTTTTGTCTCTGTCTTTGGTCTCCCCTCCGGTGTTGAATTGTATGTAGTGCTCCGCACCCCTCCCTCCGCCCCCGCCCACTCTGGCCCATGTCTCGCTTGGTCCCTTTCCCAGAAGGGCCGGCCCCACAGCCCCCTGGCAGGCCGGCTTGAAGTCACTGAGGGACCGTTCCTATTGCACCCAAAGTCGGAGAACAGACCCATCCCCCGTCCTCCCCTGTCTCTGCCTGCTCCCCAAACACTGCCTTGGGCTGGGAATCTCTTCCCTCCTTACATGGAGCCATCTAGAAGCAGAGTCCTGCCAGGGCTTACTTTCGTTGCTTTGGGGAAGGGAGGCCCCATCCAGTGGGGCTTCAGGTCCTGATAGCTCCTTGTACCTGCTTTAATGGGTGAGTCCTGATTCCCCGGACAAGATGCCTGAGGGTCACAAATACCCATAGGTGAGTTCCCTGGTGCGGTAGAGTGACCTCAGGAGCTCCACCTGGCACCCTCCTTCCCTCTGCCTGCCCACTGACAACTGCTCAGCCTGAGCACCCTTACCGCTTCCACCCACTGCCCAGCCCGGGGGCCCGTGGTGTTCTCCGGACCCTGAATTGTGATCAGAGCGGAACTCTTCTCCCAGAAGGGCACCGTGCTAGCATCTAGCGGTTGGTGGTCATGGATGGTGGCCCCTCTCAGGCCCCGCAGCAATGCGACCAGGTCAGGGAGGCAGTGGCAGAGTCCGCCCCCCGAGATTTCAGAGGTCCGAGCAGAACTTGGAGGGAGTACAGTGTGAGCAATAGGTATTTTAGAACAGCAGGGCTCAGGAAATAATCCCCACGGGGGAAAGGAGGTGGGATGTCGCCAGGAGAAGAAAAAGCAGAGGAATGCCTTAATAATAGTCTTGAGCCTCTGTAAGTGTTTTGGGGAGGAGGAGGAGGGCGAACAGCTGTTCTCTTTCCTGAGGGAAGAACAAGAGACTTCAGGGCTAATCCTGGAGTCTGTGACCTTCAGGCTAAAAGCTGCCTCTGAGGACTTGAAGCGATGGCTGCTCGCTGTGGGGAGGGGAAGAGGAGCTCTACCGGGCATGAGCAAGGACTTCTCTGTGGGGCCAGCGCCCCATGCCAGCCCCTCGCCCCTCTGGCTGGGGAGAGCACGCGTGTTGCCTGACACACTCATTGGGTTGCTCCATCTCTCTGGTTCTGCCCACGGACTTTGCACACTTTTCCATCCAAAGGTGAAGCTGCAGGCTTCTTACCCTCTTACCCCACGCCTAGCAAGGCACTCGGTGGGCACACAGACCTTACTGATGGCCCTCAGTCCCCACCTACGGTGCTGCCTCCAGGTGCTGGGTGGAGGTGAGCACTCGCTAATGAGAATTTTTAAACATTTCCTGCTGAACTGCGGTGTTCTTTGGGAAACGATTGTGAAGGCCAGGCTCCTGCCCCCAGGCAGCGTCAAGTCTAGGAAGGGAGTGAAGGCGCATGCCTAGATTGTCCACAAACCGAACCTGACTGTTGGAAATGCATGTGTAGCGGGGGCTGTTACAGGTCGGAGGCCGGGGAACTCCTTTCTGAGTGGGGTGGCAGGGGCGTGTGTCCGGGAGCTGGTCCACGGAGCCAGGCTGGGGCCCTGAGAGGCAAAATAAGGCATAAAGAAGGGACCATGAGCTGAGCGTGAATTCAGAGTTAGCCGTGGTCCCCCTTTCATGAGGAGTTGATGGGGGAGGGAAGAGAGGAGGGGGGAGGGGCTGGGTTTTATTTTCCCTTTGAAGAGATCAGGGGAGGCAGACACAGAGTCCGGGACTCCCCTGGTTTGGAGAGCTGCAGGGAGGAGGCGGGGATGCCCCCTCCCTGGTGGACTCCGGTCTCAGGTTGACGAAACACATCCACGGTGAGGGATCTGGTAGCCAGAGCTGCGGTCTCTTCCCAGCCACGCCACCTCCCTCCCTGCCTCGCGTCCACCTCACAGGGGAGGACACCTGTGTTTTCCAGGCAAGCTGGAGAGGGCTTCCCCTTCTCCCTGGAGCCAGGCGTCCTGCAGCGTCTGCCTTCCCTCCCCGGGGCCTCCATTTCCTCGTGTTAATCTGCAGGGCTCAGGCTAGGGGATCCTAGCCCCACACCTGTGAATCTGTAACTAGACCGCTGAGGCTGACCCTTCCTGGGTGCAGCCCTGCCCAGAGCAGCGAGCTGGAAGACGTCGTCGAGGCTTCTTTCCTCTTCCCTAGACCCCTTGAGTTTGTGCCACCACCCAGCTTCTGCTCTGTAGTGCTGCTAGAGGCCACTAGGGGGAGCCAGTGGCCGCTGCCTGCTCCCAGGAGCTCCTGCTCAAGGGCCACCCCTGCGGGGGTTCCCCTTCGCCCCCGTAGCCCAGTTGAATCCTGGGCTGGGTGGGCTATGTCATCCCGGCTCACTGGCTTTGCTGCTCCTTTCCCCTTGACCTTTTCCTTGTCTTTCAATCTTAATTTTTATGGTTTTCTTTCCAGTATGACAGACTTAACCTGATCAAAGTAAGAAGTCTCTCTTATTTCCTACTTCCTCTAAGTAGAGCTCCTCTCTCCCCCTCCTCTGGACCCCCAGCCCCCATCCTCCCAACTCCAGGAGCTTTTGCACTGGGAAGATGTTTTTAGGGAAGGTGGGTCTGTCTCCAGGGGCCTTGTGTTCCTTTAGTGCTTGTTCTTGAGACCCCTTCTAGGGGATAATAGAAATGTGCTCCACTCAGCTCCCTGTCCTCAACAGCTCTGTCTTTGAGTCCTTTTCCTGACTCCCTCCTCCCCTTTTTAGCCAAATCCATTTGTAACCTTTTGGAAAAGGCTTCACCCCCACTGCCTAGTTCTGTTTTCCCCATGCTTCTGGCCCTCTCTGCAAAGGAGGGGCATTTCAGGGAACCTGCAAGGGCAGACAGCCTAACTCGTGCCTCTGCTCTCCCTGCACCTGGTTTCCCTGCCTCCATGAGCTGGGGACTCAGCCCTGGGAGAGTGAAACTACGAGGGTGAAATTTGCCTCCAGGAGGCTGGTCAGAGTTCAGAGACCCATACCCACAGTGGGTATTCTCAGGAGCTACTGTGGATCAGGATTGGGGAACATTTTCCCCAGGGGTACCCCCAGTGGTGGCAGATAAGAAGCTGCCTAGAGATGGCTGCTTGGGGTAGAGTCTCACGCTGAGGGAGAAGACAGAAGTCCTTGCTCTTGATGGTACATTTCACATTTCAGTACTTGGGAACACAAATTCTTATCCCCTCCCTTTACAAAAGAGCAAATATCACACACAGAGGTGTCACACAGAGATGGGACACAGGTTCCGTGGCCAAGGCTCTTTGTTACTCTGAAGCCCTTTGTTCTGAACAGATTCAGAAGGGACACATATCTGTGTGGCAGTATAGGAAGAAAGAAAATCTACCTCTTCTGTGTACCTTAGGCAGGAACGAGAATACTGCATAGGAGTAATCATAAAGGATCTTGGGTCCCCATACCCAGCCTGGGTTCATTCCTGTTGCCCCCTTCCCTCCTAGGGCCTTCCGTGAAGGCCAGGACAGTGGGGTAAGGAGCTGGGGGTGGGGGGGTGGACAGGCGACAGTGTTTTCTCAGCTATGAAGCAGGTGTCCGAGGGCCTGGCTTTGGGTTGATAAAATGCTGGGAGCTGGGCAGCTGTCGAGGCTGACAGCGCCTAGGGGGTTCCTCCGCACTGCTGAGAGATGGGGTTCAGGGAATGTCTGCACAGCCTCATGCCCTGTGACCTCAGAGGCAGGCCCCAGGAGCGAAGACCTCCCGAGGTGCAGATCAGGTCAGACGCAGCCTCTGCCCCATCTGCTCTCCCCTGGGTCCGGACGGCCTTTGCCAAATGTTTGCAGGCTAATTTTCGGATCCAGGTGCAGGATTCCCATGTTGACAGTAGCTCCCCAACAGTGAAATAGTTGGTTTTAAGTATTCAGATGTGGCCCCTTTACCTGCTGAGACCTCTGGATCAGAGGAGAAGGTCAGGTCGTGATTCGAGTATGTGGCTTGCAGATGGGCCATAGTGACAGCCTTTGTTGGGAAATGACTGTGAGAGCATCTAAAGAGTTCTTCTGATGGAGTGGGAGAGCGGGCGAAGGGGGAGATTGTCGCCCGCCCTCCACCCCCGCCAGACACGCTCCCAGTGGACATTCTGAGACTGTGACCTTTCTTTCCCTTATGAGTCAGGGCTTCTTAGACGAAGTGGGGGGATAAAGGTTGCCTGTTGGCCCAGAATCCACACCTCGTGTATAGTTGTTGACATGCAGGCAGTTTCCCCTATATAGTGATCCTTTGCTGCAGTTATACCTTTGGCAAGCTTCTTAAAATCGAAAATACCCCATCTCCAATCTAAAACTGTTGGATCGGCACCTCAAGGGAGGGGGCCCAGACAACTGTGTGTGTGTGTGTGTGTGTGCGTGCACGCACACGTGCACGCATGCATGTTCCTGTCTGCCTGTCTGTTTTTCAAGTGGGGTGTGCATAAAGGACTCCTGGCCATAGAGGTTGGAGGTAGACAAAGCACAATTTCGGCCATCCCTCTCAGTTGCCATGAAAACGAGTCACCTTTGCCCAGGGCCAGGAATGGAGAGCACCTGAATTCTGGAGCTGGCACGGAGTCTTGATTTTGTTGGTAACAGAATTACAGCACCACGAAGCTGGGAGGCAGGCACCATTAGCAATGATGTGTTTCAACCTTCCTCCCAGGGCAGAACCCCCAGTACTCCCCTACCTTTATCACCTCAGTCATCAGCCAGTGGTTGAGCAGGAGGAGAAACGGACTCCTCTGCTCCCCGAGAACATAGTTGGAGGAGGTGTCCAGGCAGCTCCTTCTCTTCCTTTACCCCAAGGGTCCCCTCTTGCCGTCTGCAGAGGGGCTGACTTGGGGCAGAAGGCTGGGTTGGTCTCTATCTGCACTTTGCTTCTGGTCAGGGCCCATCTGGGGACTGGGTCTTGGATGCCTGCAGCGCATCCTTTCCCCCCATCAGAACCTCGTGATGGGGCTCCAACTCCCTTCCAGCTGAGCTCTTGGCTGGTGCTGCCACTGCCTGCCGTCCCGACCTTGGTGAGGCTTCCAGCATGGACCTGCCCTGGGCCTCCTTTCTGGAGCTGTCTTGAGAAAGGAGGACCCCTCTTGAGCAGCCACATGGGAAGCATTCAGCTGCACTGGGTTTCCTCCTCCCTGCCCGTCCTCTGCTGTCTGTGTAACCTTCCCTCAGGAGCCAGGCATACCCTGGCCATTCCCACCATCTCTTCCCTGACTAATGGTACCTTCTCTTATTTTGTCCTTTCAGAAAAGCCAGAGTTGGTATAATGTAAGTATCCCTGTTTCTCTTCTTGTTGGGTACACGGGAAGCGGGTGGGGGATGGGAATGGTCGGGGAATGGAGAGGCACCGAGTGCAGTTCGGCTGCCCCATGGGCTTGAGCCAGTTGAGGGGCCCCTGGCCAGCCCCCGCCCTCAAACTCACTGGTTATCCTCTGCAGCAGGACAGGACTGCTGGTGAAGGAGGAGTTGATTCAGGGAGACCAAGGAGGGCCGGCCCTCCTTATCCTCCCCTAGACTCCTGGACAGGGCTCCTCCAGCCCCAGTGAAGGGGACTGGCTGGGGGAGGCATCCAAAGACCAGATGGAATTCTGGGACTGGGTCAGCCCCAGGGCCTGAACTTGGGACCAAAGTTTCCTTCCTTTAGCTGACACATTTTGGGGACAATGCAGCCAGAAGACTTTTCCCCGTTAGTAGAGAGTCCGTCCCATGTAATGGAATTTGACTTCTGCCCCAAGACCCACCTGCAGTGCCCTAAGGGATGTGTGCCTTCTAGAAGACATCCACTACTCTTGGGTCTGTGGTGAAGGTGTAGCCTGGGGTCGTCTGTGGTGGTGGCTCACCCAGCCGCTTCATAGCCAGAAATTGTGTTGTGGACTAAGCAGTCCCATCCAAGACCACAACCCCCATCACACAGACTGGGCTGCAGCGTTTTGAACTTTTCCCCTGGAGGGCAGCTGACCGAAGTCTCAGCCAGCCCCCGCCACATTGTACTCTGCCCTCTGGGACTGCACCGCGGAAGGCCTGGCCTCAGGTCCCCATCGTTCTGCCCCGAGCCTGCTTTTCCCCACACTTGCGTCTGCTTGATCATGCAGGTACCACCCCTCCACCTCCCCTGGCACCGGGCTGTACTCCAGCAGGTTTCGTGGGCATGCGGAAAGTGGGGGAGAAGGTGGCTGTGAGTGACAGAGGCTGTGGACACTGGGGTGGGGCGGGGAGGCTTGCATTTAATGTAGGGACTTGGGTCCGAATCGTGTGTTCGTGCGGGGTGAGGTAGAGGGATATTTTCTTTCGCACGAGGCTCAGGGATGCCCCAAAGCCAAGCACATGCCAGTCAGCCCCGGGGCTTCTGACCTCTTGCTGCTCAGCGGGCCTGCCTCTTCCTGGGGAGCTCTGCCCACCTAGCCTGGTACACACGAGGGGAGGTTGGAGGGCCGTGCTGACGGAGACGAACTGTGGGCTGAGGTGGCCTGGGTCGGGGAGAAGCCAGATGACACCCCCTCATTCCCCAGCCCTTCCCCTTGGACCCACCGTGGTCTTCAGCCCCCGCGCTGCTTAGAGCTCACATCCTGGAGGCGACAGAAGCTGCTTCTGTGAGGGAGGAGAGTGGGGGCCGCTTTCCTGGGAGCCATGTGGGGCCTCCAGCATCCCTCGCCTGACAAAACCTCCACCGCTCTCAGCGGTATTGCAAAATGAGTGCCCCCAGAGGGAACAGGAAACAGGTGGCTGCAGACATGTCAGACCATTGAAACATCCAAATTTGGACATCCAAATCGCCCCCCCCCCCCCCCAGCCTCTCTTCTCTTGCTCGCTCTCTTTCTTTCAATCAGGCTCTTCTGTTCCAGCTCAGTTCCCCTTATTTGACTCCTTCCCTACCCTTTCGTCTCTGGTTCCTCCTCCTCTCCTTTCTCTGATTTCCATTCTCTGGCTGGCTCTCCCTCTCTGCCACCAGCCAGCAGGTTCTCCTTCCCCTCCCTGGCTTCCCCATTCCGTCACCTCAGGGCCTCTCTCCGCCCCGCACATCACAGAGTGAGGGATAGCAATGGATGCCAGCCAACTCAGGGGTCCCAGTGACAGATAAGATGGCAGAGGAGCTGGGAGTGACCGGAGCCCCGCTTCCTGCCCGATGCCCTGCAGCTGGAGACCCTCCCTGACTGCACATCGCCTTATATAATGGGCCTCCACGTAGTCAGCTCCCAGGCCTTCCTGGGACTCACAGATGGTCAGTGTCTTCTCCAGCCTCCTACCCCCGCAGCCCGAATGAATTGCAAAAATGTGACGGACTCTCCACTCGGCACAAATCATTAACTCACAGAGGCCTAGTGCACAAGGGACTCTGCTGAGCAGTGTTTCGCGCCCCCCCCCCCGACTGCCCCCCTCCCGGGACGCATGCTCTCACTCTGGAGCCAGACACCAGGGGACCCATCCAGAAATCTCTTCTTGTGACTCCCTTTTCCTCGGCTTTGTCTCCGCGTTGCCAGGCAGATGTGGCTCCTTGTCTGCCTTCCATCTGCCCGGGTCCTGCTCCGCTTCCTCTGTGGAGGCCTGACGCAGGCAGGGACAAGTTGCAGAATGGTGTGATGTGGAGGAGGGACAGGGAAAAGGTAGGGAGACCTGGGAGGCCAGAGGTGACAGGGGACCTCCAGCCGGCCTGAGCTGTAGGTGTCAGGGGCTGGGTCTAGTTTCTCTTTGCACTTTGTCTTCATGTGTTTTCACATCGGGAGGGAAATCAGCAGCTGGTGTAGCGGGTAGAGCCCCAGAAAGGCTGGCTTCAGGTAACCCCTGCCTCGTCCTCCCGTGAAAACCCTGCTCTCCTCCTGAGGCCGGGACGAAGCCCTGGCTCTGGGCTTGCCAGCTTCTGGTTGTCTGGAGGAAGCAAGGGGCTGCCGTTCCACACAACAAGCGTCACCCCCATCTCTGCCCACTCGGATGGTCCCCGCGGGCTTATCCGTAGCGCGGGCCTGAGCGTGGCCCTTCCCCTAGGCACCGTTGACCTGCCCCAGTCAGGAAGCTACCACCTGGGTGTTTCCCCAGAGCCACGTGAATCGATGCCCATGGGCATGGGGTGCCCCCATGCACCCAGCGCTGTACCCCTCAGTGGCTGGACACCGCCCTGCTGTGCATCATATATGTGTCTGTGCTCTTGCGTGCAGAGGCCCCATCGGGAAACTTCCGTCCAAACCCCCCACCTGGCTCCCCAGCATTGCCCGCCAATAATACATCCATGGTTTTCCAGAAGGACGTACCTTTCCTCTGTGTTGCCCTGTCTCCCCTCCTCAGTGCTGCTGATGGCCCTCTTTGACACTCTGGGTAGTCCTCCAGCTGGGCTGGAACATCCTTATGTGGATGGGCAAAGGCTTTGTCATCCCAGCTCTAGGGACGGTCACACAGACCCTGGTCAGGTTCCAGCCCGGGCATCCTCACAGAGCTGCTGACTGGAGTAGCTTGGGTCTGATGGGAGGGAAGCCCACCCAGCCCCTCCCCGCCCGCTCCCCAGGCCCCTCCTTTACCTGCCTCTCTTCCACATTTTACTTTTGGGTTTTTTTGTTTTTTTTTTTGGTCTGATATTTGTATTTATTTTTCTTGCCAGAATAACACAGAACATAGTGATAATGAACAGACTTCTGTAATTTCCTGGGGCGAGATTCCACTAGTCTACTTTTAAATATGGTGTTTGTGATATATATTCATTTACTTATTTTTAAATTTTTTATTTAAATTCCATTTATTTAACATACAGTGTATTATTAGTTTCAGAGGTAGAGTTCATTGATTCATCAGTTGCATATCACACCCAGTGCTCATTCCATCACGTGCCCTCCTTAATGTCCATCACGAAGTGGCCCCATCCCCCTACCGACCTCCCCTCCAGCAACCCGGTTTGTTTCCTAGAGTTAAGAGTCTCTTATGGTTTGCCTCCCTCTCTGATTTTGTCTTATTTTAGTTTTCCTTCCCTTCCCCTATGTTCATCTGCTTTTTTCTTAAAGTCCACATATGAGTGAAATCATACGGCATTTGTCTTTCTCTGATTGACTTATTTCACTTAGCATAATACCTTCTAGTTCCATCCACTTCGTTGCAAAGCATTGCATATAGCTACCACATCTTCTTTATCCATTCATCTGTCGATGGACATTTGGGCTCTTTCTGTAGTTTGGCTATTGTGGACGTTGCTGCTATAACATTGGGGTGCAGGTGCCCCTTCAAATCACTATGTTTGTATCCTTTGGATAAATACCCAGTGGTGCAGTTTCTGGGTCATAGTGTAGCTCTATTTTTAACTTTTTGAGGAACCTCCATACTGTTTTCCAGAGTGGCTGCACCAGTTTGCATTCCCACCAACAGTGCAAGAGGGTTCCACTTTCTCCGAATCCTCGCCAACATCTGTCATTTCCTGACTTGTTAATTTTAGCTGTTCTGACGGGTGTGAGGTGGTATCTCATTGTTCCACTTTTTACTTTGACCTATCCAACCAGGGAGGAGATGTCATCATGATGGCAGACCACTTTGGCCTGAAAAGTGCAGCCCGTGGAGGGAAGTGGCTAGACTCCAGGGACACCTGGAGGGGCTGAGGCATGAGAGCTTCTGGTCTCTAGCCAGGGATGTGATATGCAGGTCAAGAGTGGGGTTTGAAGGCAGTGCAGTCTACAAATGCCTTAAGGCCTTCCCAGGCCCAATCTACGCCCCCTTACCCTTGCTTACTCCCCCAACTTACTTGATGATCCCAGCTTTATTCATCAAGGCCCCCAGCTTGGGAGGCGCAGCCCTAGTAGACATGAAATGGTGGAATAAGCAGAAACAGGGCTATAGTTACAGTAGGGAGCCAAGGGCAAAATTGGGGGTGGGAGGGGTATATTCTGTCCCCCAAAGATGGCCCCTGTTGGGTGCAGTAAGTTTGCATCTGGGATGAAGCAGTCACCGGTCTTCTGCTTGGTGCCTCACCGTATGTGGGCACAGGTAACTGTCCTCATCTGCTTCACCCCTTCCTGGGGGGTCAGTCGTCCCGGCGACCCAGAGAAGCAGCTTGTCTGAGGTCAGAGGTTAGGAGCCTAGGCCCTGGTGGCTGGGAGAGACTTAGCGCCCAAGCTCCTCCTTGATGCCCCGGGATGGGGATGCTGGCTTTTTTTGACGGGGAGGAAGGGATCGTGCCAATCCTGTGGGATGACCAAGCAGGTCTGGCAGGCATGAGATGGAGAGCAAGAGAACAAAGCTTTGTGGGCATGAGACTGGGACATTAGGGGGACGATATAGAAAGTGGAGGTTCGGAGACA